GCGGTCCTGGACTCGCCCTAGCCCAGACGGCCAGGAAGGGGGAGAGGCGGCACGCCGACCCCGGGCTCCTTTTCTTGCATCCCGCTGTTCCCCGCGAGTGGTCACCCGCCCAGCAGCGGCAGCGTCACCTGGGAGCCTTGAGAAATGCAGATCATCGGGCCACACCCCAGACGTACACAATCTGAAACAGTGGGTGGCCCAGGGGATCCTGTGGCCGGCAGAGTTTGAAAGCCACTCTGTTAGAAGCGCTTCTCAGAGGCTGCAGGAGTGGAGCCCTTTGGGTGAAGGTTGGTGGGAGCCACCTGGGTTCCCTTAATTTTAAAGTACAGTCTGCTGAAAGGGTCCAGTCACCTTTATTTTTCTTGGCCGTACATCTTTTCAGCTCCATCTTTTGGAAGTAACTCCCTGGGGAGCAGAGGGACGGGGCTTGGCTTTATTGCTGCGGGTGATTACTTTGTCAAGGACTTGTAAGAGAAGAGCACGTTTCCCAAAGCTTGTGTTTTTTCAAAATAGAAAACCGAGAAGATATATTGAATGCCAGCGACAAGTTGACAGAGGTTCTTGAAGAGGCCAATACTCTGTTTAATGGAGGTAATTCATTATTTTATGTATGGAAGCTTTTTGTTATCATATGTTTGGGAATGGTTTTAATTAGTTCTACATAAGAGCAGAATTACTGACATCAAACAAATCTCATATTTATAATAGTGCTTTACTAGTTTGGGAATGTTTTTCACTGTGGCAATACTACTGCTTTTATTGTACACTTACCATTTCCTAAGGGCTTGACATGAAATTTGGGGGGGGTCAGGAGTCTGTTTTGACAAGCCCCCCCCCCCTTGTTCTGTTGCTTGTTCAAGTTTGAGAACCGTTCCATGTATTATCTTTCTACTCTATCTCCGGTTTTTACTGCTGGGCCCCCAGGCTGCATTGGTTGAATGGATGAATTGAAGAAAAAACTGAGCTGGCCTCTGACAGCCTGTTTCTTTCCCTGTTCTCCTCCCAGCCTCCCCTCCCTCAGCTCCTTGCTCTTGATTCACTTATAACCGAGTTGGGGGTGGCCATGTCTACAGGTGGACCTTTTGGTCTCCAGTCAGGGTGGTGTGTGAGTGTGTGTGTGCGTACACATGTGGAAGGGAGAGGGAAAGAGAGAGAGAAGTATTAACACTGAACTCTAGACCATTGTTGGGGGGGCTCTAAAAAATAATCTTGGTTTGAATTAAAAGCAGCAGCAGTGTTAGTGCTAAGAGCAGGCTATCTGTTCGATGACAGAGGACCCGCCAGGGGTAACCCCTGATGTGGGCCCTGGGTCATGGAGCCCTAGGAGGAGTTTCCAGACCACGTTTCCCTCCAAGCC